CCTGAGAGCAATTATAATAAAAATTAGAACCTCCCCTGAAAATGAATGAGGGCAAGCCTATTGATGGCATTTGTTCTAAGTTAACTAGAATACTATGGATGGTTGTTTCGAGGAAATGAAGAGAAATAATGATATTACCAGGAAGAACTCTAGACCACGAAATGGAAAATCTGAATGCATCCGTATTCATATCCTTCATTATCTTTACATCTTCCTGTGATTATAGTCGTCACATTTTAATTTGTTAAAACTCATACAACTTATAATATTCAATACAGAGAAGAGAAAAGAAGCCAGCAACATAAATATAGCAAACATAAATAAAGAAGAGATAATCTTCTCCAAACCTTGTAACGGTGGTAAAAATCTTCTGTTATATCTCCATTGCTGCCATCCGATATTTTTTCTGCAATTCAACAGAGAATACAGAAAGTTAAATGTCGAAGAATAAGATATGACAACAATTCATGCAATCAGAGATATGTTTGAGGCACTGTAAAAACCTGGGTGTGCGTGAGTGAAATTATCCCAGATACTTGGCTTCCTGCCACCTGTAGTTGTCGCACCTTCATACTGTGGAAATCGTATAAATTTTCTTAAAAATTTATTTGTTGTATGTATATATATAGTAATTAAGTGTATTAATTTGAACCTGATAAGCAGAGGAGGATGTTCCGAAAAGAAAACCTTTTGGAAAGCTAGTACGATTGAAGAGATTCTGGACTTTACCACTTGTTGCTGTTATGCCCTGTGTTTGAGCTAATATAGCGATAAGAACCAGGAGATAGGGTGCAAAATAGGGTTTAATACCCATACTTGATTGTGTTTTGAACTTCGAATGCATCCATGGCCTTCCCCATTGCCCCTATTTATACTCCAACGTTCGTGCATATTAGGTATAATGACCATACACTCCCTAAGGTTTACCTAAAACACAATTAATTAAGTTCTTCAGATTTATATATATAATATTCTGAATAGTTGGTCAAAATACTCCACCTTCAAGTCAACAATCTAAAAGAGGGCAAACAGTTTAGTATATACGGGTTTTTTTTTTTTTTTTTTTTCATTTAGACTGAACTGCATCAATTGTTCTCTGCTAGGATTGCAATTATTTACTGAAAATTTCAGTTGTAACTTGAGTGGATCTTGGGTGATTAGGGATTAGTCATTCGGAAAGGGTGTAATTGCTCTTATTCTAGAGATTCCAGGTTGAGTCTCTCTAGGGTCAAGTTACTGGTAGTTTAACGTTGAAGAGAAAGATTCGTGAGTTCTTGTAAATATTTGTATTCTTTGATACGTTTGATAATAGTATAGCGAGTTATCTCATTTCCGAAGCTCAACGTGGACGTAGCTTGCTTAAAACTTGAACAAGTGAACCACGGTAATCTTGGTGTTCTTGTGTGTAATCTGATTGTATTTGTGAGTTGTTTGTTTCTGGATTCAAAGTATAACAGTTATTATACTTACCTAACCATCCGTAAATCTCTTTTCAAACTAGTTAATGAGTTTCAAGAACTTAAGTATACATTTTCAAGACCATGCCTTCATTAGAGATTAAAGCTATCTAGATATCAGAATTTTTAGTCTGATCCTTGGTATTATTGAAGAGTCCAAAGTCAAAAACAGATGATAAATTATTGTGCAGCTTAATTAAAGTGGAGAAATAAGCAGTAGTACACGTTAAGTTTCCTCTTTTAAGTGTCAGGTTTTCTAATACCAAATGTCAGATATAAATTTCTTGATTTTAGCCAACAAGATATCTTCTGTTCCCATGCACATGCTTTGTTTATAAATAATTACCACTTTCTTTAGTTTAATTATATTCATGTATGCATCAATAAGTTAGTTTATAGGCAATAAAGTCTTTTATGAGCAAGAATCTATTTTCTATTTTATATAATACATGTGGGACTATTTTCTACAGTCCTTATATTGGACTTTATACTGCATTTTCTTTTTCACCATGTGGCAACTAGATCTAGTGATGGAGATAGATGCATACACTGATAAAGAATACTTAATCAGTTTGGATTATTAGCAATATTATTAGTCTGTGATAAGGAATGTGAAAGTTGTAATTAGGTTTTGGCGTGTATTAGGATATATTTATCTCTTCTCCACATGAGATTTTTTTTTTTTCTTGTCGTATATCAATATTTTATACTATTATCATGATGTTATCTATTGTGAATCAAATCCGTCGGTGCAACTTTCCTATTTCTGATTTTCTCAAACTTTTATAGCATGACGCTAAGGGAGAGCCATCTTCTTTATTTGTACTGATTTTTGGTTGTTTATTTTATAAATTAAGTTCCTCGAATGGATATATATGCCTCGAGATTTGCAAAAAAATTATACATCAAAATTTGAAATAACATCATCGCGATCGATCTCTCTTCTCTCAACAGTCAACAAGATAAGCAAAATTCTGATGATCACTTGTTTCATTCAAGAATATTATTTAATTCTAGGTTTTCAAGATATATACATCAATGCGGCTTAGTATTTGATTCTAGACAAGATATATCGTGTATTTAAAGCCAGTTTTTTTTTTTTTTTAATATATTTATGCACCATAATTCTTACTGCCAATAATATTATAATCCTATTTTGAGCAAGAATTTTCAGATTATGATAAAATATTTTAATCATATCGTTATTTATCTCACACGTTTTTAAATTATCTTTGAACGTAACATTAATTAATTAAGAAATCATATTAGACCCTTGTGTTTAGGACTAATAATGATAAATAATAATAATAATAATAACTTAATATATTAGTGCATTAAAAAAACATGTGGGGTTTATCGTTTGGTTAAGCAAATTAATACGTTCTAATAATATAAACAATTAAACAAATAGTAATATATGTGCAACTCATGGAATTCATAAAATCATCTTGTCTAGATTAATAAATTTTTTAATTTATTCACACTGTTATAGATCCAATACTATGAGGGCAGAATGAACAAAAGTTAACCTTTTCCATGTTGTTATATCAAATTTATAAATTAATGGGTTCTAATAATAAATTAAAGTGTTCTTTGTTAGCCCCTTCACAGTAGTGAAAGGAGGGGGACGCTCACCCGGGCTGTAATTCAAAGTATCTTCTTTATTTGCATTGGAATATCTTTGTTTATTTAATACTTTGAAATCCTCTAATGCACATGTATAGAGGTTTACGCCCCAAAACAAAAATTTGAATGTTAATTAATAATTACCGTGTGTTTCAAGAAGCATAATTTAATATAACCTTTCAATACAATACTTTTACACAGGGTAAGTTAACAATAAAAACTAAACTTTATCACAAGACTTAGTCTCACATATATATAACGAAGAGTTTATATTATATAATTAGATGATTGATTATTAATGTTCAGATCCAGCTCAGAATTTTAAGTTGATCTGCCCGTTGAAAATTAACCTGATCTGGCTGAGCCCGCTCTATGTAGTTTTAATTTGAGTTTAGCTCAAAAATCAAGTATCAGATTTTTTGTCTAAAAAAAGATCTACTATTATCAATTCTATGTCACGCACATGTTTATTTATAATTACAGGTTGTTTATATTTGGTTAGCTCCAATAAATTAAATTTTATTTTGACCAAGAAACTTCAGCATGTACATTATATATTTGTTTTACAATACAGTTACTAATCTCACATGTTTTTTATCTGCACTGCTTCATTTATTTATTTTCTTATTGTTATTATCCTTAGTCATTATTGGACCTGGTTCATACTTTGTACGGGTTAACACTAACGCATTCATTTCATGGTAAGCCCAATTAGTAATTGGGTTTGAAGTTTTTTTGTAAATATTTAGGCTCGGAAGTGTGTAGCCCAAATGTTACTAGGTTTTCTATTATATGTGTACTATAATAGTAAAAAAAAAAAAAACCTAATGTGAGAAACTCTATAAAAGGAGAGGAGAGAAAGAGTGAACTGTTGTCATTACTATTATATTGTCGTAAATTTCTAAAACAAAAAAACAAAAAAAAAAAACTTTTCTATTTGTAATGCTGGACGTAATTCCTTTATTGGAAATGAACTAAGGTAAATCGATGTTCTTCTTTACTTTTTTGTTTCAATTATTTTGTGTGTTTTGACGATATTTTTCAATAGAAATGAAGATCAATTGCATGATTTCTTAATAGAAGAATGTTACGTTCAAAGCATCACAATTTTTTTTTTTAATTGAAAAAAAAAAAAAGGCATATTCTTAGTATAGACCCTCAATTAGAGTTGCCAATTTCCAAGTACACAACTAGAAACTAAATAATTAAAATCAACCGCATCTTCAAACATTAAAATTGGGATTAGAAACCGACCTTAAACTTTTCTTTAAGACTGGATAAATATCCAGACTGACATGGTATTATAGATTGAAGAGTTTAATTACAACAAATAATTAGATGAAGTGCAGTGCAGCTTAAGTAATCAATGGAGTCATAAGATTCACAACAGTTCAGCATTTTAAGTTACTAAGAAGTTGCAGGTGTAATCTGGATGAGCTTGCTGAGTTTGCAAAAGGTAGTTGATTACTTAACTTTATTCTCAACTTAGGTCAATTAATCACGTTTTCAGATTTATTGTATACGTTACTTATTCATTTGTAATTTGATAACCTTCCCATTCAATTACTAAAAACTTCAAAATTCAACTACAGCTCATCATTTTAAGTTGATATGCATGTTGACAATTAATGCCATCTGGCTGCTCGCAATTTGTAGTTTTAATTTGATGTTAACTCAATAATTTAAAGTTTCAGATTTGGGTATAAATAACTAAATAAGATAATATTATAAATTTTATGTCATGCATGTCTTTTGATTTATATAGAAATTAAGTAGGTGAAAGTATCTAATGAATTGAGGAGATGTGTACTTATTTAATTATAACATAGCTTGAATATCAACAGAAGTTGAATTTTATTCATGTTCATTGTAGATTACATCTATACATAAGAATTAATTAAAGATAACAAATCCTGCTTATTTATGAACTTCACTTCTTAGACACATAGAACTGGTTGTAGCATATAATACGAAGCATGAGTTTCCTCGTCTATTACTTCTTGAGGAAATTCTTGAACCACTTAGCGGAATCCCTTGGATGTCTTTTCAAGCCATTACTATAGTCTATGTAATTCATCCCAAACTTCATTGTATAACCACTCGCCCATTCAAAGTTGTCTAAGAGTGACCACACAAAGTACCCTTTTACATTCACACCCTCCCTGCAAAGATTAGAATGATCGATGAGAAAATTAGTTCTTCTTTTCTTTAATAAATGAGAAAGTAATTAAACTCACTTAATGGCTCTTTGGAGAAACAAAAGATGGCGGTAGTGGTAATTTATCCTCATAGGATCCTTCAGGACTTGAGGTAAGGTAGCATTAGTAGTGTCACAGACCCCTGGAAAAAGATTAAAATAAATTGGAATTCGTGATCAAATACATTTACGTAATTTTACCAATGAAAATTGGTCACTCAAATCATGAAGTAATTGGAAAACTTCCCACCATTTTCAGTGATGTAAAAGACTGGAATGTCGTACTTTTTCTTTGAGTAGGTGAGAAGATCTAGTAATCCCTTCGGATATACGTAGATCCATTTAGCCTGTCAAACAAAGCAATTAAGTTAATTAGGAATATTGATTCTAATTCTTTGATCACATGGACAGTATTCATAGATAATGTATACATATACCTGCGGGCCAATTGGGATCCCTCCTCGCTCGGCTGCAAAAGAAAATAAATCAAACGAATTGATTTGAGTCAAAAGTGAAGAATTAAGTAAAGTTAGCTACTCTAGGAACTTACCGGTCGTGTAAACATGGGAATCAGTTGAGTAGCTAATATTGACGGAGTTAGCAATAGGAACAATATTAACAGCATAATTTGTAGTGTAGTAATTCAATCCAATAAAATCAAAAGATCTTTTGAGCCTCATTGATTGCTTCTGACTGAACTTTGGGAGTCTTTTTCCCACCTCCTTTCGCATGGTGAATGGATAATCACCGTAAACGACTGGTTCCATAAACCTATATATAATCATAAGTGAATAACAGAATATCAATATATATGGCTTATTAATTATTAAGATATCATAAATTAATTCATGAACAGTTTTGATAATTAATTTACTCACCATCCAAGATTGAAATCAATGCCTCTTTTGGCTGCCTCAATATTAGGTTTCGAATTATCGTAAGGTATCAACCAAGTAGTGGTCAGAATTACTCCAATCTGGCCCCTTTGCTTCGCCTGTAGATTATATTATGAAAAATCATTAATTTCATTATTATAGTTTTAGTGCTTCAATTCGTTATAAACAACGTTAACCGAAGAAGCTAACTACTAGCTATGTCGCTTACCTGGTACTGTTGCTTGTATAATTCTACTGCTGCGGCATGAGAAAGTATCAAATTGTGGCCAACAATATAAGGCTCGGTGGCAGAGTTTCCAGCCTCGCATGCTGAATTTACCCATTTGGAGCAGCGGCCTGGTGCCCAATTGCCCAAGTCATAACCTTCGGTAGTGAACATATTGGGCTCATTCAGAGTGATCCAATGCTTCACACGATCACCAAATTCTTTGAAGCAAAGTTCGGCGAAGTCTCGAAAATCATCCCTGTAATTTTCAAAATAATTAAAATAATCTCTTATGTGGTCATGAGAAAGGTTGGGTTGTGTGTGTGCACGTGTTGTGTTAAATTCAATTTTCACTTACACAATACGAGAGCTTAAAAGGCCACCATAATCGTCTTCTAGGGCCTGGGGAACATCCCAATGAAAGATGGTCACAAAGGGTTGTAGACCTGCGCGCAAATGGTAGTATAACAGATATTAGCATATATTTTATAAAAGACGATAAAGATGAATGGGCTAGAATTATCACCATTTGCTAGTAGCTCGTTGATGAGATTATTGTAAAAACGAATGCCTTCCTTGTTCACTCCCCTTTTCAGCTTCCCACCTGATTTGTGTCCAAAGAGCAATTATAATACAAATTAGAACCTCCCCAAGTGTAATGAAGGCAAGCCTATTGATGGCATTTTTTGTAAGTTAACTAGAATACTATGGATGGTTATATTTATAATAAACAAATTGTACATTTTTTGTAATATTCATATTTAACTAAAACTGTTTCGAGGTAATGAAGAGAAATAACGATATTACGTACCAGGAAGAACTCTAGACCATGAAATAGAGAATCTGAGTGCATCCGTATTCATATCCTTCATTATCTTTACATCTTCCTGTGATTATAGTCGTCACATTTTAATTTGTTAATAATATTTAATATAGAGGAGAAAAGAATCCAGCTACATAGATATAGCAAACATTAATAAAGAAGAGATAATCTTCTCCAAACCTTATAGCGGTGGTAAAAATCTACTGCAACATCTCCATTGCTGCCATCGGAAATTCTTTCTGCAATGCAACAAAAAGATCAGATATTACAACAATTAATTTATGCAAATAGAGATATATGCATGGGTGAGGTACAGTAGAAATTAAACCTGGGTACGTGTGAGTGAAATTATCCCATATACTAGGGCTCCTTCCTCCTTCTTTTACAGCACCTTCATACTGCACATCCATCGTATTCATATTCTTATAAATGTTACGTTGTTTTACAGTGTAAGACATTCTTATTTAATTTGAGTATATAAATTTGTACCTGGTATGCCGCGGAGGCTGTCCCGAAAACGAAACCTTTTGGAAAGCTTCTACGACTGAAGGGAATATGCCGGGAATGATCACTTTCTACTATGCACTGAGTTTGAGCTAATAAGGCGATAAGAAGTAGGAGGCAGGGAGGAAGAGAGTGCTTAATACCCATAGTTGATATTCTACCTAATTATATGTAGTATCAGGGTAGATGTTATACTCCATGTATATTTATGGAAGGTTATGATATGATTACGTATCAAAACTCACCACCGCCTCATTGAATTAATGATCTTACTAATTAGGGTAATTAAATATGTGATTAGTGGTAGCAGGTAGGATGTCAAAATAAAGTCCGGTCTGAATGGGACCCGAAACTTTGAAAAAGATAAGTCACGACCGCACCACAGCACCAGATTATATTTATATATTATATATTTATACAAGGGTATATTTTTTTTATACACATTAGCACTTAAGAACTTCAAATATACTTTCCATGAAAGGAAAAGAAAATAGCTGTAAGTAATCATACTGCCTTTAGCACAAATAAAATGGATGTATGAGTTGCAAATTTATGTGTGTGTGTTTGTGTTATGTTTAATATATCATTAGAGGAATGACATCTAACTTCCAATGACAAATCATATATATATATATATGCTTGTCCACCTTAAGTTAAAATTATAATGATCTCAAACTTGAATGAGTTATATCTAAAAATAAAAACAAATCTTAAAGAAACATAGTCGTTCAATCATGCATGTGTTTCAAGAACTTAACTCAAGTCTAAGGCGATACTTTTGCAACAAGGCAAAGTTTAGAATGTCAATAGAAATGTTTATATGTATAAGTTATCTAGATATCATATCAGAACCTTAATCTGATTTACTTCACCGTAAAGAATGTGATGATCTTAATTAAATCTACGTTTTCAATATACCGTACATAAATCTGAAACTTGATTAATTGGGCTAAGCTAAGTATAAAATTAATTAATATAACTGCCAATTGCTGATTCAGCAGGCCAACGCAGATCACACCTATAACTTGGAATGCTGAGTTGGAGCTGAACTTATGACTTCACTAATAAGTTCATTGCAATTAATCATTTTATTGTAAAATACGATTAAACTCTTCAATATACAATCGAAAGGCCGGGTTTTGTAATATTAATTTAGCAAGTCTCAAAGTACACCATTTTTGAAAGAACATATCTCTCAATTTGCAATAACTTTGTATTATATTATGTTTTAATTAGAATTTACTATCTTATCTGTAATTTGTGAAAGGCTTTAACGTTATCAAGGATGATAATTGTTGAATTGTAGGGAAACTTTACTAATAAGAAAGATAAAGGCAACGCCCATACATGAGATTTATCAACAAGAAATATGAAAATAGAAATACAACGAAAAGACTAGATAAGTGCTTTAACTAAAATTATAACATAATTATTTTATTATAACATATGATATTCAGATTAGGTAGCTATATCTATTTCTGTAGGAAATTCCTGAACCAAATGGCCGACTGCTTCGGATATCTTTTGTTGCCATTTTTGTAGTCGACAAAGTTGATGCCGAACCTCACTGTATAACCAGAGGCCCATTCAAAGTTGTCTAAGAGTGACCATGCAAAGTATCCTTTCACATTTACACCCTCCCTGCCATAAGATATTAATTGAGAGTTATTAATTGATTATCAAAAGAAAAATTACATATTTTTTTGACATGACTAAAGAGAAATTAAACTCACTTAATAGCCCTTTGAAGAAACAAAAGATGGCGGTGGTAGTAATCTATCCTCATGGGATCCTTCAGGGCTTGCTCTAGCGGCAAGGTTGCATTATTGAATTCATCAAGCCCTGGAAAAAGATCAAAAGTTGTTTACTGATCAAATACTTTTACATTATATTATTTGTTGGGGTCAATGAAGTGCTGGCATGATTTTTCACCATTTTCAGTTATGTAAACAAGAGGATTGTTGTATTTTTCCTTCACGTATAGTAGAAGATCTCTGAACCCCCTTGGATAGACATGTAGCCAACTTGAAGCCGCCTGCCAAACATACGAATATTTCAAACATTGAATCAGGAATATCAATACGCAACCCAAGATTATTTTGTTTGTGATTAAAATACATTAACGTAATTCATTTTTCTTCTATAACAGTGTCTTTTCAATTTTTATTCTTTTAAATGCATATATATATATGTACCTGTGGACCGATAAGGATGCCATTGCGACTGGCTGGAAGAGAGAAAGAAAAAAAGAAGATGAATGTCATGGAAAAATGTGTTGATAAGTAGTAAAAATAATCAATATTTTATTTATTTTAGGTGTACTTACTGGTCAAATTAGCAAGAGAATCTGATGAATAGCTAATGTTGACGGTATTGGCAACAGGAACGTTAGCTGCATATTGTGCAGTGTAGTAATTTATACCAATAAAATCGAAAGATCCTTTAACCATTTCTGATTGCTCCTTGGTGAACTTTGGGAGCCTTTGTCCCACAATACTTCTCATGCTGAATGGATAATCACCATAGATAATTGGGTCCATGTACCTATATGTTAAAATTTAATTAAAGAATCTGCGTAATTTATATATAACTTATATTTCTATCCTTCAATAAAGATTTTCTCACCATCCAAACATGAAATCAAGGGCTCTATATGCTGCCTCAACATCAGCTTTCTTTTTGGAGTAAGGTACCATCCAATGAGACACCAGTGTTATCCCAATCTTGCCCTTTTGAATCGCCTTATTAAGAACATGCAATAATCATAGTTTTAGTGAAACCGAGAGAGATAGACATGTAATTGACATATAATATATATAGAAAAGAAACAACGAGAATTGAGAAGCTAGTAATAACTTGGTATTTTTGCTTGTATAGTTTGACAGCTGCGGCATGAGAAAGTAGCGAATGGTGACCAACAATATAAGGTTCAGTGGCGGAGTTTCCGGCCTGACATGCTGCATTTACCCATTTGGAACACCGGCCAGGTGCAAGTGAGCCCAAGGCATAACCATTACCACTGTATGTCCATGGTTCATTTAGAGTGATCCAATGCTTCACACGATCACCAAATTCTTTGAAGCAAACTTCTGCGAAGTCTCGAAAATCGTCCCTGTAATATAAATATGGTCACAAAGGGTTTGTCTATGATAGCTAGCCAGAAGCCTGGAACTAAATTAAGTTTAACTCATCAATATGTGAAATTAAGTTGTTCACTTACACAATGCGAGGGCTTAAAAAGCCACCATACTCATCTTCCAAGGCTTGAGGAAGATCCCAATGAAAGAGAGTCACAAAGGGCTGCAGACCTGCAAATTATTGTAGCCACAAATTCAACATTTTTTTTTTTTTTTTTCTGATCAGAATATGGTTTCTTGATCCAATTGATTGTGCATGTATGTGAAAGTCTGTAATAAATCCAAAATTTCAATTAATTAATTTTACATGTGATAATCTATCAAAATTTTGAAGTAGTTTATCTAATTTGTTTGATCATAGGTAAGTCCTTAGGTAGGGTAAATTTATCACCGTTTGATAGGAGCTCGTTGATGAGATTGTTGTAAAAATTAATGCCTTGTTTGTTCACTCCCCCGCTTAACTTTCCACCTAGTTAGTGAGAAAATAAGAAAAATAACTATAATTACAACAGAAGAAAAGAATTATTCAAAGTTCATAAGATTATTAAATTTAAAAAAGAAATGTTTTCTATTTGACTATAATACATACATGACTGCCAACTCAATCGATGGAATTGAAAGTTTAACTATAAAGTTAGATAATAATTTAAGTCATTTTCTCAACAATTAATAATTTAACAAAGATGAGAAATAAACTAAATTAACATGCACTTATCGACACGGGAGATGCCCAGCATCATATATGGACAAGGGCATATTTTTTATAATATGGACAAAGGCATCTTTCCCATAGTAGTTCTGTAGCTACAGAAATTCAATATAGTTACAAAAAAATTGACACCATTGTCATATCTGGTGGGCACGACTGAAATAGTAATTTATAAATAAATATTCTTATGGATTTGATAATGCTAATTAATGTTGGTATTAATAAACAAATAATTACTTGTGTCTTTTTTCTGCTTGGAGCATAAATATTGCAATGTGTTTACTCTTACTTTTTTTTTTTTAATTTACTTTCATACGAATAATTAATATTGAAAAAACAATTATCTTACCGGGTAGTATTCTAGACCACGAAATGGAGAATCTGAAAGCATCTGTATTCATTTCCTTCATTATCTTCACATCTTCCTAGAGTAGTAATTATTAAAATCGTCATCAATTAGTCTCATTTCGTAAAATTATTTACCTTGTCACTGAATCAATATGTTCCAATATGCAGGATCAATTAAAAAATTTATCCAAACCTTGTAATGGTGGTAGAAATCATTTGCAACATCTCCATTGCTCCGATCCGTTATTCTTTCTACAATATATACCACAAAAAGTAAATATATATGTATCATATACATCAAATGTATGTACATATAATTTATGGAGAACCGACTAATCGTATTAGATTATCAATGTTAGCTAAAGGATCAAAGGAGAATCAAATATGAGATTAGTCATGATCTATAGAGAGAAACCTGGCGAATTATGAGTGAAGGTATCCCATATACTAGGGCCCCTCCCATCTTCATTTGCAGCACCTTCATACTGAAAATCGTATAAAATATATATATAAATTAATTTAATCATCACATCAAAAAAAAATTCTTAGAAATTGATAAACGTAGTATAGAACTACTACTTATATATTATTTCTAGTATTAATTAATGAGTAATACTATACTTACAAAGATCTACATACAAAGTGATATGACAAAAAATGAATAGAAGAATGAATTTAATGAGTTTGACTTTTTGTTTTACACTTCCATTCATTTTATATAGAAATCTTTGTAAGATTTCTTTGTAAGTGAGTTTGACTTTTTGTTTCACTCTTCCATTCATTTTTTGCCACCTCACTTTATATAGAAATCTTTGTAAGATTTCTTTGTAAGTATAGTATTATTGTTAATTTTAGTAAAATATATATTGAACCTGGTAAGAAGCGGATGCTGTTCCGAAGATGAAACCTTTTGGAAAAGAACTCCGGTTGAAGGGAGTATAGATATGTTCAGCTGCTATGAAGCTATAGGTTTGAGCTAGCAAGGTGATAAGGAGCAGGAGGAATTGTAGAAGAGAGGTTTGCATAGCCATATTTGATTATGATTTCAACTTTGAATAAGCACTACCCCGGCTTCCCTATTTATAATGAATTTAGGAACATTTGTGGCGTTTTTATTCAAATTACGATAAGTTTATTTATTCTTGCTCTGACCATATCCATAAGATTTAAAATCAATGTGGGTGTCATTTAAAACATATTTGTTTACCCTATATATTTTAACTTCTAAATCAATCAATAACTATCCGATTCATTGGTTCTGACCATATCCATAAGATTTAAAATAAATGATTGAACGTGCAAGACAAATTGGTAAAAGCCGCAGCCCGAAGATAAGTATAGCCAAGCGGTTTCCATATATATAAGATAAAATAATAGTAATAATAAAAGTTACCATGTGTATCATATGTATTAATATACCTCAACGAATAGATTAGAAACCAATACTATAGAGTAATTTTTCAAAAATAAAGGAGATTGGAGCACCAATGTTATGATTTGTTTAGATTGTTGAAATTTATGTGCTAAACTTGGCATTATGCCCTTGTATTGTAGCCGAATTTTAACCAAAATATGATCAACATGCAAAACAATATATATATTTCCACAAGACTGGTATAAGTTTGTTGAAAGAGATGTATGTATAACTTAAAATCTTTTCTTCTTTTTAATCTTGATCTAAAATTTTGGCATCAGTGCGAAACATAGCTATCATTATTCATGTCAGTGAGGATTTTCTTATTGTTGAATTCCTTTCTGCTACCTACCGTATTTTTGTATTTACTCATATTTCCTTAGGATCATGATTAATTGTATTCCTAATTTTCATACAATTATCACATTGTCTAAAACTTGATAGAAAATCCCTTTTTATTAGGGAAAGAAATGTTAGGCAAAAGCTGAGTATAGTAGTTTGGGTTAAAGTGTAAAGAACCAATACGGTGTGTTTTGTATGTGTTGAATATTTTCTCAATACGGTGCATTTTTATAATCATCTCCTTGATATAAAAACGCAAGGGTTCTCTGTTCCTAATTCAGTGAATAAAACTTCAATATATTCATTCAGTTAGCCCAACTGTTTTTCTCCCAAATTCTTTATTTTTGTTAGTTTCTTTTTCAAATCCGGTCAAGAATCTTCATGGTATCAAAGCTATAAACAGACATCCATGGCTAATTTGAGTTCTGGATCCTTGAATTCTAGCTCCAAGGTAGTGAACGAGCAATCTAACAGTGCAAACGCAATGAATTCAGTTGCTCATTCCTCTCTTCCAACTCTTTCAGTCAAGCTAGGAGAGAGAAACTACAGTCACTGGTGGTCTCAAGTCTTTCCTGCGTTAACCTCCTATGAGCTTGATGGCTTCGTCATAGGTGTGCATGTATGTCCTTCCATGTTTTTAACTGAGCAAATACAAGATTTTGAACGAATAATCAAGAAACCTAACCCTAAGTATTTTGATTGGAAAAAGACAAACCAATTTCTAGTAAGCTTGGTTAAATTCTTCCATTTCCGAGTCTATGTTTAGACATGTTGTTAAATACACTAGTGCGTATGAAATTTAGAATACTTTGGAGTTGCATTTTCAGTCTTTCTCAAAGGCAAGAACACTTCATTTGAGAAATCTATTGCAAAACACTAAGAAGGAGTCTATGAGTGTTAATGAGTATATTTTGATGATGAAAGAGTTAGGGGATGAACTAGTGGCTAGTGGAGTTCAAATGAGGAGCTATTGTTGTACATTCTGGATGGCTTAGGTCCAGAGTTTGATGATATGGTAGCTAATTTGGTGGCCAATAGTAGCACTGCCACTCTCCAAAAAGTTTAGATACTACTTCACAAACATGAGATGAGCATTAATTGAGAAGTAGAAAAGTGCATTATCAAATTTCATGGGATGACATATGCACTACTGGCTACAAAACAAGGTTCGAATGATGCTACAGGTGTACCGCAGTTCCAAATCCCTACTGCACCATAATTCCAAAATACTGGGTCTAGAGGAATTGCATTTCAGAATCTTGGTTCTCCATCTATTATTCAACCAATTACGTGGCAGAATCCTAATCTTTCACCTATGATCTCACAAGGCATGTTAAATTACCAACATCATGGAGTTTATCCTCAACAACCCCCTAATGTAGCCATGTATACTGTCACTTTTCTTCATCCTGTCACTACTCAGTATTCTTCTCTTGGTGCTGTTCAGTTTAACAATAATGGGATTAGAGGCCTAGGTCTAGGCAAAGGATACTTTAGGCCTCAATTAGTTTGTCAAGTATGTGGGAAGAATGGTCATTCAGCTTTACAATGCTATCACCGTTTTGACTATGAATATCAGGGGTTTGTGAACACAAACCATAGCAACAACGGTTTTTCTTCAGCTCAGACAGCTACTCTCCCACCTCTAGTTAGTAATAATCAACCATATTCAGGGATTTCACATGACTTTAATGCCCAAGCTCAAGCTCTCTTTACAGCAAATTCTCTACCACCCAAGCACCCTTCAAATTCTTATGATGGATTTCATGATCTCTCGGCTGTTAGGGTGTCTAGAAATCCTCAACCAAATTACAACACTCCATAATTTCAACTATATCCACCTGAGCATACTCAACAGGCCATAATGCCAACATAACTTCAACTAATAATTCAATCTTGATGTCTGCTTCTTCTGCACCTATATTCTCTAATGCCACTGCTCTAGCTATTGCTACACCACAAACATTCACATATCAGTCTTGGTACGTGGACTCTGGCCCCTCAAACCATATGACTGCCGATGCAAATAGCATGTTGATGAAGTCCAGTTATCAGGGAGGGTCCCAACTACCAGTTGGTAATGGTCAATCCATTCCCATTACCTATACAGGTATTTTATTGTTACCTTCTGCTGATTCTAATAGAATTTTGCAAGTCCATAACATTTTGTGTGTTCCACATATTGCTAAGAACCTACTGAGCATGTCTCAAGTCACTAAAGATAACCATGTGATAGTTGAGTTTCATGCTGATCACTGTTTGATAAAGGATAAACAAAGCAAGGCTATTCTCCTTTAAAGGACAGTAAATGATGGTCTGCACCCTGTGATCCTAGTTCTACTTCAGCCTTCAATACACATGAAGTCGGCTCATTCAAACCTAATAAAGAGTACTTTCGGATAATGATTTAGATTCTGATCCTGCTTGTAATTCATCTAATAAATTCTTACTTAATGAGCCATCTAGTAATGTTTTACTATGGCATGCTAGATTAGGCCACTGTAGTAGTAAGATTCTAAATAATGTACTTGCAAAGTTGAATGTAAGAAAATCAAGTATTGGAAATAAAGATTTCTTATGTGAGGCCTATCAGTTTGGCAAACTACAGCAGTGCACATTTCATACCTCTACTTCTGGGGCTAAAAAACCCTTAGAGATAATTTACTTTGACTTGTGGGGCGCTCCTATTCCGTCTATTTAAAGGTATAGATATTATGCTATATTGGATGATTTTAGTAGATACATATGGATCTATCCACTAAAACTAAAGTCTGAAGTTCTTAATATTTTTACTTAGTTCCATTGTTTTGTGGAGAAATAATTAGATGCCAAACTGAAATGCTTACAAATAGATTAGGGAGGGGAATTTCGACCCTTTACTGGTTATTTGGAGAAACATGGCATCCCGTTTAGGCACCTTTGTCCATATCTTCACCAACAAAATGGTAGAGTAGAACGTAAACACAGAACAATTACTAAGTTTGGGTTGTCTCTTCTAGCCCATGCAACCATGCCCTTGAAATTCTGGTGGTTAGCCTTTAGTACAATTGTGTATCTACTCAACAGGCTTCCCTTAGCAGCTATTAACTTTGTATCTCCTTTTGAAACTTTATTTCAACAAGCACCAGCTTACACTAACCTTAAAGTGTTTGGTTATTTCTGCTATCCATTTCTTAGGCCTTATCAAAGGCATAAAATGTCATTTCACAGAGAAAAATGTGTTTTCTTGGGTTATAGTCTTGTCCATAAAGGCTACAGATGCATGAACTCTAATGGCAGAAGTTATGTTGTTAAGCAAGTTCATTTTAATGAAACTGACTTTCCATTCAAATATGTTTTCCAACCTGACCTATCTTCTCCATCTTCACCTGAATTTTGTGAGGTCACTAAGTCTTGGATCTTGAAATCACTTTCACTATCATCCAAGTCTTCAGAGTTAGTTTCTAAACCTGTACTCATACAACCATCAGTCAAGAGAGTTCTTCTACAAAATCCATTCAGGACTACAGAGTGTCTTCACCACAAGTTGATACTACTAATACTACTTCTGGCAGTCCTAGTCTTATCTTATCTCCTCCTGAAAATATATCTACAGTGTCCACTTCAACACAAACAAATCCTGAAATTCAACTTGAGGTTGTTCTTCCCATGACTTCTTCTAGTACTCTATCTTAGCTAATAGCAAAACTACAAATGTCCATCCAATGGTTACTCGATCTAAGGCATATATTTCAACTAATATACCTCAAGCCCTTCTATCTACACATACAATTCTACCTGAGCTATTGTCAGCTACGGAAGCTTTGCAAACTCCAGAATGGAAAGCAGCCATGGAGGCTGAATATCAAGCCCTATTGAACAATCAAACCTAGAAATTAGTTCCCCTTATGTAGATGGCATGAATATAGTTGGCGGTTTTTAAAACCAAACTACACTCACATGGCTCTCTTTCTAAGTATAAAGCTCAATTAGTAGCCAAGGGGTTTCAGCAAACCCCTGGTCTTGACTACTTTGAGAACTTTTCTCCAGTAGTTAATGTAGCAACTATCAGAGTTATCTTATCCTTATCTATGTATAATTAGTGGGAAGTGCAGCAACTAGATGTGAATAATGCATTTCTCAATGGAGAATTGACTAAACAAGTCTTTATGATGCAACCAGAAGGTTTCTCTGATTTTTCTCAAATAAGGCAGGTTTGTCAGTTGCACAAAGCCTTATATGGGCTCAAACAAGCTCTAAGAGCTTGGTTTGAGAAGCTGAAACATGCTCTATTAAGTTGGGGTTTCCAGAATTCAATCTCTGAT